CCTTCTGTTTGATCCGCTGACACTGATTTAATTTGCAAATGTTGCTCCTCTATTGCTTTCTTGTGAATCAATGTGATTGTTCCTGCTGATGCTGGTTGTGGACTGTAAGTTGTTACCTCCACGRCGCAGTTTCTTAGTCTTCTCATAATTTCYTTTTTTGTTGTTTCGTGGGGTGTTGCATTGGTTAAGTGTGTCTCCTGAAGACAGAGGATGTCCGGGGGGTTTGAACCGTTCCAACCTGTCGTGTTGAGAAGGCAATGCCACTTTTCCTGATTTGTTAGGATTGTCGCCAGTCCTCTCACATTCCAAGATTGGATCATGAGTTCCCCCCTGGAAGTTACCATGTTTTACCRTTTTTCATTTAACTTTTGTGAGCTGCTTTTTTGTCTCTAGGAGCTGACACTGATTTCCAAATCCTCCTCAAAAGGGGACAGCAGTGCTGGGAGCTCTGCAGCATCCTGTGTCAGCGCTTCCGACTCCAACAGCGTAGCCAAGGCTACCGCATTCTGGGTCATCAGAGTGTCACTCCCTAGTGCCGTGACGGGCAACTCCACCACCCACCACCAAGGCCTCCATCTTAGTCCCTCCTGCAGCTCGGCTTTGTGGACGAGACAGACCAGCAGCGGTCGTGCGTCAAAATGTGCCTGCTCTTTCTCCTCCCCTTCCTCTGAAACATCCTTTGGATCTGCCTCTTCTCTCTTTTGCAGCTCCCCTGCAAGCCCTATGAATTCCGGTTTCCCCCCCTTGCAAATCTTCTGCAGCAGATCCTCTTTTTTCTGTCCCAATTGCCATCTAAGAAATGACAGTTCTTCGCAGACTGCTACATTCCACTGATTGGCAAGTGCATCTCTTTGGATGGGAATTACTGCGCGGGACTGCAAAAGGGTGTTTGCTTCCTTTCTGGCTCTTTCCCAGAGCGCATCTTGGTCTCTGTTCCGCAGATCCTGGACTGTCACTGTGTGTAGGGAAACTTCCCTGTTCAGGTCTATTAGCCGTGCGTTCTGAGCCTCCAGTGCCTGCAACTGGATACCCAGTTGGGTGACTGTTGGCATTGCTTTGTCCGTTCCTTCTTGTTCTTTCTTCTTTCCCTGTTCTTCGAGGGTTGGAGTTGGTTTATATTTCTGCAGCTTCTTGACCTTGTGATGTCTGTTCTTTCCCTCGCCCTCTTCGTCTCTCTCACTTTCCTTCATTTCCTGGTCTTCTTTAGAGGCGCAGTATTTCTCTGCAAATAGTGTTGCCAACTCCTCCTCCTTTTCCAAAGGAGCAAAAGGGTTCTCTGTCCACGGAATGTGTCTGGAAGGGTTAGCTGCTTCTGTCTTGAGCTTGTTTTTCTGCTCTTCCCTTTGCAGAATTAACTGCAATTCGTAATTCTCATATCTTTCCCTTTCAAAAATTTGGATGTATTCCCTCAGTTCTTTCTCCTGCTGTCCGGCCCAAGGGTATCCCTCTTCTCTGTCTGGCTCTTGGTCATCTTCCAGTTCTTCCCTGTCCGCTTGTCCTTCGGAGTGTTTCCTTTTATCCCYAACTGTCAGTTTTTGCTGCCCTTCTATCTCCCCTGTTTCTGACTCCGCCTTTCCCTCCATCATGGAAACATCGGTCCCCTCCGCCTCCTTGGCCTTCCCCTGATCAGTCTTTTCCTGTCCCTTTCGCCTTCTCCGTACGTAAGTTATTGGTGCTTGTCCATCCCCTCTCGCTCTTTCTTCCCCCTGGTACCTCTTTACTGCTTCAATCCATTCTCTTTCCGTGTTTTCTTGAACTGCTTGCAAGTTTGCACAAAGGTCTCTTTCCCAGATTTCGTGTTTCAGTGCTTCTATGTTTATTACCGGCTTCTTGGTGAAAAACTTGGGCGCTTTTTTGCCCGTTTTCAGCGTTTGCCATCTACTCTCGTACAGGGGGTAGACATCAGGTCTGGGTGTTGGTTCCCCTTGTATGGTCCATACCCAATCCGGAGTATCCAAGTTATCATTGAAGACCCACCCAGCGTACTGCGCCTCCGGGATGTACCAAAAACCCTTTTTGCCAGCCACTTCCTGCAGATTTGCTGTTTTCAGCAGCTTTGGTTTGGCGCTTTCTTTGGTTTTTGGGCAGTTTGCGTCTGTTCCCAGGTGTCCCCTTTGCCTGCACTTGAAGCAGAGGGGATTGGTTTTGCTGGATACCGTTATCCTGATTACCTTGTTTTCCTGGGAGAAAAACCATTCATCAGGAATAAACGGTAATGAACTGTCCCCTGTTTCCAGAACCACCGTCATCTGATTGTGCTGCTGGGTGAGGAAATCGGGGGTTGAGACGATCCAGTGAGCTTCATTAAAACGCCCAAATTCGATTCTCACCCTCTCCTTTATACAACCATGCATCCCCTCCGGTACATTGTCGAACTGTATCCAAAAGTGCTTTTTGATTAAGTCTTGCCTGTACCTGAATGGCGTTTGCTAATTCAGAATGATTTTATTCTGTTCAATTGGTTGCACCTGGATTAGAACTTGGGTGTGTATTCAACAGTTCATGGGTGTACCTACTGGGCCAGGCCCGTTGTTTTTTTCTTTTTCTTTTTCTTTTTCTTCTTTGAAACAAGCTTCATGCCCTGGGAGGCCTGCTTAAAGCACCAGTACATGGGCACCTGGGCCGCGGGCCTGACACCTCAAATTCTGGAGGCGTGAAATGAAATCGCGACCGCCGATCTGATTTATCAACGGCAGGCGCGTCGTTTGACGTTTCGGCCTCGTTTTCTTGTGGCGACAAGTTTCGGACTGCAAGGCTGGGGCCGTGTACTGGTGGTTTAACGGGGTGATACGATTATCCCCCTTAAGCAGGCCCCGGTGTTGAAGGCTCCATCTATTGGTGGGGGGTGTCACCTGCTGGAAATCGGGTCCAGAGTTCCTGTACATGTGGAGAGTTCGTACTTTGTAGTGTTTGTATCAACATGTGTTGGCAGTGCTGGCACTAATTATGTCTTGTATGTGGGTCGGGCCCCAGTGTGACGTCATGAAGCTGCTTTTGTATACATGTAACGACCTGCCAAACACGGACTGAGAGACACAGCTGATTTCTGAGTTTTGCTCATGGAATGTAGGCCTTACCGAGTTTCCTGCTTGTTGCTGAGTTTTCTAAGTCTGTGTGGGTGCTTGCTTGCTGGTCTGCATGCCTGTCTGAGTGCCTGTTGGCTTTAGTGTGTGTGTGACCCGCAAGGGCACTTGTTTGTTCTGAAGGCCCGAAGGGCCGGTACTTACCTGTGCCTGTGACATCGAGGGTTGCAGCGGGGAAAACACTCAAGTGGCGGGGAAAGACGCCCGCGACACTTAGAGCAGCGGAAAACACTCAAGTAGCAGGTAGCACGGTACCACACCAAGTAGAGGTAGATGTGCCGGGTACTTGAGGTCGAGCAGAAGAAGACAAAAGTTGGCATTTTTAGAGGCCCAGTCCAACCAGTATGAGTCTAGGGCCTGTACGGGCAAAATCAGAGTCTGCAATGATGTTTCCCTCCGAAAGGGAGGAGGTACCGGTTGCTTGGAGGCTGCACGGCCTACGAAGTCACTTGCCAAGAGGCAAGCAGGCCGCTATATCTCCAGGAGGAGCAAGGTGTTCCTCATTATCGGTGTGCAAGTTTGGCAACACACTGGTTGGAGCGCTGGCTGGAGCAGCGCTGCTGGGGAGGAGCAAGGGCATGAGGAGGAAGAAGACCAGGACTAGGAGGGAGGAGCGCCAGAGGTACTTACCTGGCTATGGTGGATACCATCTTCATCACCTTGGTGGGCGCTGCATCTGGAAGGCCCCCGTCGGGGTATGGCTGCACCAAGAGCTTCGAGGTAGAGTCGGGCATGGCGGCCTGAGCTAGAGCAGCGATAGCTACTTTGTGTCGTCCTTTGCATAGCAGGGCGGTGCCCTGGTAGTCCGACATAGCCTCGACCATGAGAGAAGGAGGAAGAAGGGTGGCCATGGCTATGGTGGACCTCATGTGATGCCTGCAGTAGAAGAGGGATTCGGACATTGATTCTGGTTCAGCCATTCAACATTATTATTATTATTTCTTGTTTAAATAAGAGGGGAGGAGATAAGGAGGAGGAGAGTGGTTGGCGAAGAAGAAGAGAATTCTCATTGGTCTTTGCTGGTGTACATTTTCTTCTTCTTCTTTCTTTCATCTTCTTCTTCTTCTTTCCCTCTCTCTCCTCTCAAGTTCATTCATTTCTTTTTGCAATTGGACGGCATTGTACTTTCTGATGAATGTGTACTTCGAACTTGGCCAGGATCATAACATACACCACTCCCCCTCTCTCACTGCCCCTCTCAGTCTGTCGCTCTTGCTATCAGTTTCGTTCCGGCTCTTGCAAAAAGAAAGGGAACTGAATGAATTTTATGCAGCTTAGTACAGTCTGAAAACCAAGGTAGATAAGGACAACATCCAAGGGGATCCAAGAGGCTACGAACAACATTTCTCCTGGCCCAAGTCATACGAGGAGCAGGCTGTAGAAAGAAGGGCTAAAAAGCAAAGAAATGCACTGAACAGATCCACCACCGAAGGAGAAACAGACCAGACCTCACAAGGTATGGAAACTGTAGAGGAACTCAACAGGCAGGCAGCCATTCTTGAAGCACAGGTCAATGCTTTGAGAGATCAGAACAGGGAGCTGGATGAAAACTGTGTGACCCTGAAAGACATTGCCACTGGCTACAACAAAGAAATAGATGCAGCTGCCATATTGGAAGCACGCACCAGCCCCAAACGCCGCACAGTAGTTCCTTCAGATGGAACAGTACCTATGAAATCTGGGATATAGCATATCACAAGTCACTCTCCCTGATATCGGTTATGGATCAGGACTGCACACAGCCTAACCTGAAAAACTTGATATCGGACGGGGTACCAGCAAGGGTGCAGACCTTGGGAACGAAGAAGGAAGGGAGGGAAGAATGGAAGGACCAAGAGGGGGAACTACAGATCGCAGACTTCAGACCATTGATCTTCCAGCTAGATGAAAGAGGTGTGCTCAATGGGGATCCGTGTTGGGTACCATGGCAGGTAGTAGAGTCAATTCCTTACAGTCTGTTAGAAGGAGACATGGAAGCAGAAAGAGCAGCCTTGAGCAGCTCGCTGGTCATGGCCTATGGCATCTTCTTGGTGTCACCCAAGCGCCTGGCACTGAAATCACTGGGTTCAATTGCCACTGGGAGGGCCCTGCTGAATCCTAAATGCAGACAGGAGCATGTCTTTGGACTGGGGAGCAAATAAAAGGAGACAATGGGGGACGGTGAACCAAACCCCCGGTCTCACAGGAATTTTGGGCTTCGCAAGCCAGAACCAGATCTGAAGATTATGTCCTGGAATGCAAACGGCATGTCCTTACTCCTCAATAATTTGCCAAAATGGGAAAACCTAACAAAGGCAACAGACTGGTTCAGCAGATCCCCGACTGACATACTGTGCATACAGGAAACTCACTTGACGAGTTCACAAGAGCACCAACGAACCCAGAAGCACCCCCATTCAGCGGGAGTGCTGAAACGGTTTTCACCTTTTAGCAGTAGCGGATGCAGAACCCAGGGTTCGATCCCTAGACCTCACCCTACCCATGTACAGTATCTGTGTAGACCCCGAGGATTGAACCTGTGACCTGTGTATTCGTAGGCAGTTGGTAGGCCTGTCGTAGGTCCATAGGCAGCASGGGTTCGATCTGTAGGTCTATAGCGTAGGAGTCTTAGTGAGTTCTGGAAGCTTAGCTGTAGACCTTCTAGAAGATAGGCAAGTGGGCAAGTGGTCAAGTGGARAGGCAAGTGGTGGACTAAACCGCAGTGCAACAGCAGTACAACGTYGGTAGGATGGCGGTGAGTCCACAGTCAGTCAGCGGAAGGTCCAGTCAGTCCCAGTCCGGTCCAGCAAGTACCACAGGGGGACTGTAAGCACCATGGGCCGTTGGCAAAGGGCAGACCAACGAGTTTCTGAAGTATAAATCAAGAGGCAGCGTCCATCCATTCATTCATTCCTGCGTGAGCCATGTGGAAGTGCTGCCACAGCGACTTGTGCAAGGAGGTCTGCAGATGAGCCCGGAGGACGCAGTGGGCTAGAGAGAGGGAGTTAGCATAGCGATAGGATAGATGCAGCGACAGCTGCCATAGCTGTAGTTAGTAGTGAGTGTGTGTGTGTGTTCGAGTGTTAGAGTGATGCGTGTGGGATATCCAGGGTGATCCCGTGTATGTGAACAGTGAGATGTTTGGGCGCTGAAGTCGCCATAGCTAATTGAGAGTGAACTCGTATCTGAAAGCCATATCTCCGAGTTTTGAGTGGGCGCATGTCGCCAGTATGCTGCGTTGCTGTTTACATGCATGAAAAGTGTGTTTGAGAACGAGTCTGATTGCAGTGGTCATCTTACTACATGCCAGAACCAGATTAGCGGATAAAATACTCAGTATAGATACAAAAGGGGGTAGATGGGTAAGGATGGACTTTCAACTTAGGGAGGAACAGTTCAAACTATTCAGCATATATTGCCCCAACACACTACCCCAAAGGAGGAGACTAATAGAATATTCAGCCCCGGTATGTGACCCCCACAAGCACCTGATCCTAGTAGGGGACTGGAACGCGACACTAGACCCAGCCAAGGATCGCATTTCATGTAGTTCACCTACAGTAG